GCCAGGGTGTCCCATTCCACCTTGTGGTTGCACTTTGATTATGTTCGATGAGTTTCCCACAGGAATCGGTCCTTATATGCGAATACGGGACAGTGCCACATAGGCACAACCCCCGCATCGCGAGTTTTCACAATTCATTTTATTTTCAAATACACCGACACCACATGTCGGGTTTTGAAGGCTTCACAAACCCATTTCCCAAGTTTTCGACAAACAATGGTGTATGTGGGATATTTGGTATACGTGCTCAGAGAACACGAATACCGAGGTACCACAAGGGTGGAGCGACAAGGAATCAGGGTAGTATGACCTACGGAAATTAGTGCGACTACTGGGTAGGTCCGTCGGTTTTGGCACGCAAACCGAGGCCAAGCAAGTTAAGTGTGTGATTCTAATAATGCAAGTTGCAAACAAAATAATAATGAATTTTCAATTATAGGGGCAATTGATCAAAGGGTGACTTGCCTTGCTCAAGGTCTTCACGAAGCTTCACGAATCTTCGAGGAAACCCGCGATCGACGAAAATCCGATAACCGCAACTATACGCAAACAATCGAAAACCTAAACAAAGGACCAAAAGAAAGATCCTATTTAGACTAATTAGTAGTGCCAATAAATAGATCTCAATTTTACGGAATTACTGGAAGTGGAACGGAGTCAATCGGAGTTGCGAATTAGGTGATATGAATTTTGGAAGTTTAATTGGAGTTTCTGGAATAGGAGAAATGGTTTATGGAATTTATAGAAATAATATTCTCAAGAATATTATTGACAGTCACTGACGCGCGGGACCAAAGGAAATGATTTGTGGAATTTTGGGAATAAGGAATTGATTTATGGGACAAAGGAAGGAAAAAAAAAGGATTTATTAATCCTTTGGATAAGAAATGGAAGGAGGGATGGGATTTAGACTTCTTTGGGCGGCTCGGGTACGGCCCAAGGGATAAGCACGGCGCGGCCGAGCCAATGGGCCGGGCGCGGGCGCGGGGAGGCGGCCCATGGCCGGGCAAGGCGCGGCCCAAGCGGGCGGGGCGCGCGGGAGGAGAGAGGGGGATGGGTCCGGGTGGACCGTATCCACCTTGCGGGGTCCCGGGTGGGGCCCGCTTGTCAGTGGCGCGGCTCTCCGTGGGAGCGGCGCATGAGGGCAGCGCTAGGGTTTCGGGTGAGCGCGGTTCACGGGCGTGCACTGGATGGACCAGGGATGCGGCGGGCCCACGCGCAGCCGGTTGGTGCACCGTGGACCGCGCGCGAGAGGGGGGGAGGAAGGAGGCGGCTGACCGGCTCGGCTCGGTCAAAGCCGAGGTGGCGCCGACGTGGCGCCTACGTGGCAGCCACGCGGGCCGGCGGGAGGAGGAAGAAGGGGCGGCCAAGATGGACGGCGGACGGCGGCCGAGTTCACCGGAGCTCGTCGCGACGATTCGAGAGAGAGGGAGTACACCGGAACGATGGGACGGACGAGAGGAAGTGAGCCACCGGATCGGATTCGCCGGAGGGAGGCCGGCGATGACGAATCGCGGCGGCGTACGCCGGCGGCGAGAAAAGGGGGAAACTTCACCGGAGCAACGGGGGTTCGATTAAAAGGGGTGGGAGCATATCCGGGGTTCAAGGAATCCGTTTTCGGCGCCGGATGGGACAGAGGAGCACCGAGGACAGCTGGCGACGAGCGGCGGCCTCCGGGAGCGGACGGCATTGGCGGCGAGGCCATGCCGGGCGGCGGCGGGGCTCGAGGCAGCGTCCTCGCGCATTTGGGAAGGTCTAGGCTAGCAATCGCGCAAGCTAGGGGGAAGGAAGAGTGGGGAGGGAGAACGGAGGCTACCACGTCGGGAGATCGCCGGGAAGGGTGTCCGACGGCACAGGCGGGATCACCTCGGTCTCGGGCCGAGGGAGAGAGGGCGGCCGGAGTCCGCGTCATCTCCTCGTGCGCACGCCGGCTTCACCAGCACGCGCGACGGCGGAGGGAGGCGAGGACGGCGGCAGCATGGCGGGGATGGTGGTTCGGCGGCAATGGCGCTGTGGGAGGAAACGAGTGGGTGGTCGAGGCGTTGAGGGGGGCTCGGGTTTTTATAGCGGAGGGGGAGAGGTCGGTTTGGAGGAGGAAAACCGACATTGGCAGTCAAGGGATGCAAGGGCGACGAGCTGGCGGTCGTCGACACGTGCAGCCAAGGCGGCGGCAGGTGATGACGCCGGCGGTGTCGGGCAAAAGGGAAAAGAAGGGGGAAAGGGGCTTGGTCCCTTGCCAAAACGAGAAAAGAAGGAAGGAGAGGGAGAGCAGCTGCTTCTCCCACTCTTGGACGGGTGCGGCGTTTTCGTGGGCTGCGCGAAACGTGGCGACGGCGAGGATGCGAAGGGGCGGTGGAGGCGGTGGATCGTGCGGCGGGAATTGAATCACGGGCGCGGGAGCATCGGCGTGGCGCGGTCAAGGTGGGGGCACAGGCGCGGCAGGACGTTGTCGGCGTCCTCTGCCTCCGCGCGCAAGAAGACAAGGGCGAGAGGAGAGAGGCCGGGTTTAGAAGGGAAAAAGTGAGGGAGGACGGTGGAAAGGGAAGCCTCTCCCTTCCGTTTTGGGCGGCGGGCAGGCGAGGCGCGTGGGAGCGGCGTCCTTGCCGGTCGGCCATGCGCGCGAGAAACGGCAGCGTGGCTGGGATTTTGGGCGGCGTCGGCGGGAGTCAATGAGAGAGAGAGAGAGAAAGGGTGAGAGAGAGCGAGGAAGAAGGAGAGAGCGAGCGCACACGCGCAACGCACGTGCGAGGGGGAGGAGGAGGAGGAGGAGGAGGAGGAGCGGCTGAGAGGAGATGGGCCGAGGAGAAAATGGCCCACAAAAATCCGAGGGAGGCATAATAGACTTTTTCGGAGGAGATTGATTCGAAGAGAATTTGAACTTGGAATTTGACTTAGATTTTGGAATTGGGATCTGGATGAGAGGAAGGAGTAGACGGAGGATTCAAGATGGGGTTTTGGATATTTTGGATCTGGGGAAGTATTTGGCGATGATTCAAAGAGAGGGATAGAATTTCAGAGTTTGATTTGGAGACTTGAGTTGGAAGAGGAATTTCGAGGAGGCAATTTTTGATGGTGACGAGAGGGATCAAGGACGGATTTGAATTGAGATCTTGGCACAACTTAGACTCGCCCACAAAGAACGGAAATTTTCGCATATAAGATTTTGCCAAATTAGTTTTTAACGTCTCACGAAAAGCGGAGCGTTACAACTGTCCTCTCAAGCCTACAACATGCAACCTTCATAAGCTAAAAAAAAACTATCCAGAGTTTGACACGTAGAGGCTGTTCAGATTATAGCCAATATAAATCTTACCAAATACCAAAATTTTAGTAAGTTGATAATATCATCAAAATTTTAGCATGATTTCTTATGTATTTGCCAAAGTTTGGCAAAAAAAAAACCTAAATATATAGGCATATCTTTAACAACTTTGCCAAAAAAAATTGTATGGTTTAAAATGGCATCAATTTGAACAGCCTTGTACACATATCCGGATTCTGGAGTTAAATAAGCAATACTTCCTTTTAAAATATAAATAGTTTCATTTTAGAACGGGGAAGTAGTAAAGTAGTGTCCTATAGAAAATAAATCTAGGACTGGATATGATATATTCTAGTGTTACGAATCTGGACATATGTATGTCTATAAGTATTAGGATGTGTCACATATGATATTATGTTGGTTTTTTACGGGACGGAGGGAGTATATCTCAATATAATCAGTTTACTTATTGCATATTGATTGATTGCCTCGTCATGTCGATCATGTTCAAGTGATTCGATCCCCAAACCGTGATCTATAGAACGTTGCTTGTGATCTGACTAGCAGCAGCGTGCAAAGGATAACTATATGAGGACGACGTAGTAGCAGCAGCAACAGCACTGACGCGTGATCCGTCAAATTGCGTGGGAAATCGATGTGAACCACAAGGAATGCGAGAGATCTTTTTTCAGCCAAAGCTGTCCACTTGCACGGCGAAAGCCGTAAACCAAGGCGCTGCCACGCCAGGTCGGCGCACTAAGTTCACTGCTGTAGCCTCGCGCGAGATCCCATTTAGGTCTACCAAACCGTTTGGCGTAAAGTTATCATCACCCTACACTACAGTTTAACGGTTAAGGTATATACCGTGATTTTGAAAACTGAAAAGGTTACAGCGCATGATAATCGCGTGGTAACCGTACGGTGTTTTATCAACCTTGGATCTCATCCATCTCATGATCACCTACGCCTCAGCCTCGCCCAACTCCGCTTTGTGGCTACCTGGAACTAAAGCTGATTGTTCAAGGAGACGGATTTGGTGGCGACGATGCGAGCGAGACCCGCGTACGGGCGGCGGCCCAGCAAATCGCGTGGATGTGGCGTGTGATTCGCGGTCATGTTGGCCCATTGGCAAATTGTGCGGTGGTAGAAAGGCCGCGGTCTTTCGTGCCCAAAGCCCACTGGTGGTGGTGGTAGGGAGGGCAGAGAAAGCAGCCCACAACGCCAAACGCGTGTAATATTATGATATGTCCCTGCACTATACCTCAATCTTAAACGCATCACTAAACAATTAAATCACAAATTAGATGTGAAGGCTTCTTAAACTATCAAATATTGCTTTTTTTTCCTTCTATCATTTCTTAGAACAGAACCACCATTGAAATCTCTAGAGACAACAAATCGAGGGAGCGCCCATACTTACTTCATAGGCTAAAGATTTTATTTCCTACCCTCTCCGTTTCACAATGTAAGTCGTTCTAACATTTCTCATATTCATATTAATGTGAATGAATCTAGACATATGAATGTGAGAAATGCTATAATAACTTACATTGTGAAACGGAGGAAGTATTTATCTAACAAAGTATGTATACTCACATAGCCACACGCCCACACCACTCTATATTTTAAACATTTTAAAATGTGAAAAATTGTAGATGGGTGGTCGACCATTTTGCATCCATCCCTTCACAAGGGGCATGCAGCACTATGCCTTGGATGTTCATGCTCCCAAGTCCCAAATCGCAAACCTTTTCACCCTAGCTCCATTCACATACTTCTCAACATTGCATCGGAATTCGGAGGAATACACATATACATACATAAACTTTCTTTTAGTTTTAGCCCGCTAATATGGTATACAAAAATAAGCAAAAGGAAAAGGACAGGATGCCGGATGCAATGCACCACTGTACATACATGCCGTGCATGTTAACCACAGTTAACCACAAAAATACATGCACGCATGAATGTCTCCTACTGCCTCCTGAAGCCAGCACTTTGTTTACTGACACTGAGGCACTATTACGAAATGATAAACGCTACTACTACCTATTGTCAGCAAGAGGCACCTATTGCATTTCATTTCATTCCCATCATCATCTGGAGCTCTTCAACACGGATCTCCTTGTGCTCCTTGCCTCCTTTCTTCCTACCAAATGCGCCGCTAATCAGCTTCTTCTTCCTCTCCTGCAGCTCCAGCATCCTCTCCTCGATGCTATCCTTCACGATCAGCCTCACCACTTTCACCTCCTTGGTCTGCCCGATCCGGTGCACCCTGTCCATGGCCTGCTCCTCCACCCCAGGGTTCCACCAAGGGTCGAAGAGGTACACCGTTGATGCCGCGGTCAGGTTCACGCCGGCTCCCGCAGCCTTCAGGCTGGCCAGCAGCACGGTCGGAGAATCAGGGCCAACGCATCCGAATTGGCGGATAACCTCTGACCTCTTCTTCGCCGTCATAGAGCCGTCGAGTCGTAGTATGTTAAAGCCTGCTGCTTTAAGTGGCCCTTCAAGCAAGATCAGCATCTTCCTGAACTGAGAGAAAATAACAGACTTTGACAAAGGGTCTTCGCTCTGTGAACGCCTCAGTAGTTTCAGCAAGGCTTGCACCTTGGAAGAAAGAGGTCTATCAAGATTGACTGAGGAATCCTCATCGGGATGTTTAATCTCTGGCGCAATAAAGAGGTCTTCTTTGCATAGCGAGCGCCGGCATATTGGACAGCGGGAACTAGAGCTCTTGAGGATTTTCATGATGCAAGTCTGGCAGTATATGTGCGTGCAGCTCGTTATGACGGTTTTGGCTGGTGGAGCGAGACAAATCGGACATTCGAAGTCATCTCCATCGTCAACCAATGAGGCCAGCTTCTTCAACAGCTCTGGGTTTTTAGACACATCTACAGCAAGCAACATGTTTACTATAAGTAACAGTTACTCTGTAAATGATATTTTCAACATGCAAGCTGTTATAGCGCGTGGTTGATAAATGTAAGCAATGCAACCCTATAAGAATTGAAAGAGGATAGAAAACAAACGATCTCATCAATACTTGTTTTTAGGAGTCCAATACCCTAACAAAACAAAGTCTGAAAATGGAAAAAATTTACGCGTGCTTGTCTTCACTTAAAAAACAAATCCAGAAAAGTGATAAATCATATCATACAAATGGTGATTATTAATTCAAGCGACTCACCAAATAACCTGGACTTCCAATAAATCCTAATATATCAATCAAAACAGTATAAAAGAAAAGGTTAAAAAAACAGAATTTACTATTTTCTGGATATAAGATAAAGTAATCCCTGAAAATACCAAAAAAAAATGTAAGGAGTGAGGACCTTACTGCTAATATTGTTATATAAACAAGGAAAACATTTCAGAAAGCGGAACTTTTATCTGTAGAAGTATAAACAGAAATGGACTAGAGAAAATAATTCAAAGGAATATGGGAATATGATTTCACTGGCTATGCAGCGATTTCTGCGGTTTACTAAGTTATATTGATATAATCAACAGAGCAGTTGACCCATTGGAGAAAATGACGGATAGGTAGCAAGTTTGTAAAGTTAAGCTGGCAAGCAGCAATGTACTGATGCAATTTGTCGATTCAAATAGATAAACCAATTACACTCAACTTGCTAGTTTGACACTCTACAGTAAGATGGAACAGTTCTAAGAAAAATCAAAAGAAATACTACTATCATACAATGCTTAGTGTGCGAAATCTCTTTGGCAACAAGATGGTTCAATCTAAACAGCACAGTTTAATTTTGATGAGTGTATTATGGCCATATTATATCATCACAAAATAAATCCAGAATTACAAACAGGAAAAAATGCCATACCTTCAAGGGAGCTGCCACTGCCAGGAAGCCATGATTTCAGGTCTAATGGGCATAGTGCTATGTCATTGCAGAGCTGGCGGAGCCTCAGAATGAAATAAAGCACAGTTGAGTAATTACGCAAAATCGAATCCCTGTCACCAAACTCCCGCAGTTTGTTTTTCCCTTCCAATTCCATCTGGTCATAGTACTCACGTTCCTCTGCAGAAAGCTCAATATAACAAGCTAAAACAGTTTTGGGCGGAATGCTGACCAAGCTTTTGCTACCACTCTCTGTCTCTTTGGTTCTGCGCAGGGAAATAGCACCTAGGAGGCTCTGTAATAAGCAGATAAGAAGAATTTAATTATCAGAAATTGCAGGTATGCACGTGACTCTTTCAGATCCTTTCCAACACCATTATTAAAGTACTACCTAAGTATAGTTACTAGTTCATGTGAATTGTGAATTACAAAAAAATGACATGTAATGACAAGGCAAACAATTTTCCAAACTTACCTGCAATCGTGCCAACCCAATTCCGTTATTCTTTCTCTCTAAGGGGAGCTGGATCAAGCTCTGCCAGTAGCTCTTGATTGAGAATGGTTGGAATCTCAAAAATGCCATGAGCGGGTAAAGATCAAATGAGCTGTTCTGAATGGGCGTCCCTGTGACCACCCACCGCCTCTCCGCGTTCAAAGCAATCACCGCCTTGGTTTGGCGTGCTGCAGAGTTCTTGATCACATGGGCCTCATCCAGAATCACACGGAACCATTCAATTTCCTTTACCGGTGAGCCCTCCTGCTCAAGTTCTTGCCCCAAGGTGCTATAAGTGGTAATCACAATGTCATATTTCAACAGCTCTTTCTTCTCTTTTGTCCGCTCTCCATGGTACAAATACACCTTCAAGCTACCGGTTTTCGTGTGCTCCTCCAGTTGTGTCACCCAAGATGAGAACACCGATGGCGGGCACACCACAAGCGTTGTTCTTGACTCCTCCTCCACCGCCTCCTCAACCTTCCTCCTTTTCGCCCCTCTAGCCTTCTTCCCACCTACATTGCGAGCTTTACTCCTTCCGATCAGCGACAACAGCGTGAGAGTCTTCCCTAGCCCCATATCATCAGCGAAAATCCCACCCTTCAACGGCGGCGGTCTCTCATTCGTCTTCTGATTTGTAAGAACATTCTTAAATCCCCCATCATTATCTTCCTCCCAGAATGGTGGAAGGTCGCATGACTCCTCACGGTGCACCAGCCACCCCAGCGCCGCCTTCTGGTGCTCGAACAGTTCGGACACCACCACATCCCGCGGCGCCTCCATGGGCGCAATCCGAGCTCTCCCTCCCTTCCCCACATGAGAGAACAGCCTATCGACATCCCCGCGAGACCTCTTGGTCTGCTGCTCCTGCACGATGGCGGACTCGGAGAGGGCGAACTCGGGGTGGTCGACGTGGATGAGGTCGATCCCGGAGGCGGCGAGGGCGGCGGCGACGAGGGCGGCGTGGGGCGGGCGGGCGAAGAGGTGGACCTGGCAGGGGAGGCTGTAGAGCCTCTTGGAGGCGGGCTTGGGGACGATGCCGTGGGCGGCGGCGACGTGGCCGGCGTCGAGGAGCGGGGCGAGGGCGGCGGCGGCGCGGCGGCCGATGTGGCCGATCTTCTCGCCCCGGGCGTTGTCGACGCGGATGGCGTTGGCGTCGTGGGGGTTGTGGGGCTCCCGGACGAGGCCGACGCTCTCGCGGCGGGTGATGGCTCGGCCGCCCTGGTAGTACTGGAGGCCGACGGCGTTGGCGACGATGAAGCCCAGGAGGTAGGGCTCGTCGTCGTCGTCCTCGCCGCCGCCGCGGCGGGAGGTGGAGGCCATGGGAGGGAGGGAAGGGTTTGGGTTGGGTTGGGGGGGGGGGGGGGGGGGTGGGGTGGGTTTGAATCGAATGGGGGCAAGTCAAGCGGAAGGAGATGAGTTCCTCTCGACTTCTCTGGTTGGGTGGGTGAAAGATTGGGGAATTTTTACAGTTTTACTGTCTCGCAGACTCGCACTCTCGGCCTTAGTTAATACTTTTTATACGTTTGACCATTCATTTTATTCAAATCTTTTATACAAAATATAAAAATATGTATATCATGTTTAAAGAATATTTGATGATAAATTAAGTTAAAATATAATAAATGATAATTATGTAAATTTTTTAAATAAAACGAATGGTCAAACGTATAAAAAGTCAACGGCGTCATACATTAAAATATGGATGTAGTACCATTTTTCTCTTCTATCGATAAGTTATATCATCCTAATTATTTCTAACATTTGAAAGATAGATCTATAATCTAAATTGTCTCTTCTTTCTTCTCTTTTAAAAACATGCAATCTCAATTACTTTTAGGCTCAAAATTATATCAAATTATTTTTAGTTTTGTACAATTATGTAACTTAATTTTCCACAGCAACACGGGGTATTCATTAACCATTTAACCGTTCCTTTGAACAGAAGGGTCCGATTATTAGCCACCAAAAAATATTTATGAGTATATTCTTAGAGACTTAAAAGTTTGCACCAAAAAAGGTACTATTAAAACATTTTAAAATTAACTTTAAAATTAAATTTTAGAATTTGAATATTCGAATTGATTGATTTCATATAGAACAACGATGAGGAGTAGAGCTGATTCTATTTGGAAACCGCGAAGCGAGCTTCTTTTATCGTTGCTTGTACTTAAGGGGAGCCACCTATATACTCCTATTAGGTTCAAATCCTGTTGCCCACAAAGATTATGTACATAAGTGAGCTTTCAACAGAATTTTCTATTTAGTGAGACCAGAGATATGACGCAAACTTCCATCTCTTTAAGTGTGTATTAGGGGGGACATTCTCTGGTGTGTTGTTGTATGTGTAGTAATGTTTGCGCGTCTCCATGTAACTGAAAAAAGAAACACATGTATATTGACCAAGTTTAAAAATAATTTAAGCATTTTTTCTACTTTTTGATAAAAAAATTATCTAGTTTTTCTTGCTTTTACTCGGTAACCGCAGCTCACCACAGAGAAGGGGTAACCCCATTATCGTCAGGATTGAGATCATCTGTAGTTAAAAACACGGTGCCTTTATCACTGACATGAGACCATTCCCTAACAATCTGTTATCAGGGAGAAGCACAACCGCTGAACAAGGTGTGCCATGAAATCAGGCTAAAAAGCCTCTTTATATAGATTTCCGGGCAGCACAGCTAGAAGAAATCTCATATGGATCGTAAACGCTTTGTCAAACTTAGCAAACAAATTCAGAAGTTATGATAGATTTCTACAATACATGCTGCCGTGCAAAGTGCAAGTGTAAAATATAATGCACAGCTATCTCATGTAGCATCCAGCCAAGTCGAACCAGAATCACAGTCACAGAGGAAAGAAAAGAAGGGAAATCCAGACGAGCAAACAAGCATCATGTGAGAACTGAGAAACTATCCACGAAATCGTCAAGTCAGTCATCATCCTTGTAGGGGTATTCCTCTGGGACTTGCTTGGTAAGCTTCACTCGCATCTCGTAGGCATCATCCCCACGAAGCATATCACGGACCCATGTAACCTCTGTCTTCATAGAAACCTATATGACAATTGCAATTCAATCAGAGTAGCACTTGTAAAAGATTTCTCTCGACTGATAAACAAGTACAAAAATATCATGTGCTGATAAAGGAAATTTTGGTATGCTATTATGGTGAGAAACACGAGGGCATAACCCCACATAATAGAGCAGGTTGGTTGCTGATGGCACCTTAACAGTCATCTAGTCATTATGAACTAACTTAAATATGTATAACAAGACCATGAGAATTCTGATACGAAAACGACAACATCCTGTCATGCATCTATAGATCGTTCAACATGAAGAGGGAAGGAGAAGGTAGAGGTAGCTGAAAAACTAACCATTTCCAGTGCACCCCTAATAACTCCACTTAGCACATTGCAGTACTGAAGACCTTGGCAAGTATCAGGAAGTTCAACAAAATCTACAAGAGGATTGTCCTCCAATACAAAGCTGCAGCTTGTACCCTCAGCATCCCAATTGGTGACAGTTGCAGTCACACCCAAGAACATTTTGAATCCAAGCTGTTTTAAGGAGAGACAAAAAAACTTTAGACCATACACCCATATCTTAATGCACCACCAAGTCTGGGATATCTGAATAAGGGCAATAAGCTCTGGAAACATGTAATAATGTTACCGACTGATAATGTTCCTATTCAATCTGAACCATATAATAACAAGTTTAACGAAATACCTTTGCAATGACATCGGCAGTCTCCTTGAAGTCAACACACCTTGATACATTTGATTTGGCCAGGAACTCATCAACCAACCGAGTTCCAATGTTGTAGCCCCTGCGAAGTGAAAATAAATATAGCTGTGACTTATTTAGGAAACAGATAAAAGGCAAAGGCAGATGGTAGTAGTAAATTATGAAAAAATGCAGCCAGCAAGCCATAGATATTGATTACTAAATAAGAATCCCAATATTCGCCAGATAACCACTTGATTTATTATCTACTACTTCAAAGTCAAGATTCAGTTAATATCATCCTTACATATGGAGATATTAATTGTCGTGGCACACTAACCCCATTAGTGCTTAACTAAGTAAAGAAGTTCCAAAACTGGAATATAATAAATTTGTACATATTATTTCCCCACATTGGACCATGACACATGAAAGTGTTGTGAATATAAGGTGCCGTGAGCCCGTGAAATGTCATATCAAAATGATCAATTACCATTTTGTCGCAGTGTAAAATCTGCACTAAATTGGAAAGTCAGATTATCCAGGTATAAGGTTGAACCTCTAAATCCCAAATCGCTGTAATACACCTTCATGAAGAAGTTTACTAAAAGTTACCTTTACAAATACTTCAATCATTCAGACTACCTGAACGTTACTTAGTTTGCTCAAAATTCCATAGCAAAGTCTACATAGATCCTCTTACTGAGGCCATTGCAGCTGCTTCACTGTAATTTGAGGGGTGGCAAAAAGTGAATATTTCCGAATTCCTACTCCTATAACACGATCGGTCCAAAGTACCCACGAAACTCCCTAAAATTGAACCAGAAAATTAGACACCGAGGAAGAGAAGAACCACACATACATCTGATCAAGCTGCTTGTTGACCTCCTCGACCTCCTCCAGATCCGTGAGCAGCTGCCTCACGATGGCCCCATACGTGAGCGTGAACAGCTCCGCGTTCTGCGAGCAAAACGAAGCAGATCAGGGCCCAGATCCAGTGGGGGTTTCTGACTCCCTGTGAAGCAAACAGGGGGGGAGGAGGGGCGGGAACTTACGACGCGCTCGACGCTGCCGAAGAGAGCGTCCCCGGACTTGGGCCCCGTGAGCGGCGGCATCTCCCGGATCGCGCGGCGCCTCTCGCCGGCGGCGACCGGAGCTCGTCGGCGGCGGTGGTGGTGATGCGGAGGAGAGAGAGAGAGAGAGATCGGGGGAGAGGCCACGTCGCGAGAACGGCAAGTCTATAGGTGCGATGGCTCACCCGCCTATGGGCCTCGTAGACCGCTAGTTGGGCCGAAACGTAATCGCGGGCTCACATGCGGCCCATATTATCTGGGCCCGAATGTATTGCGGCCTACGTGTGGGGCCGTACTTATTGGGCCAAAAGGGTAATGCTGGCCACGTGAGGCCCATTATTGTTGGGGCCGAAGGCATGGGCGTAGCCGCGTAGATACAGGCAAAATCAATCGTTCGTACTATTCATAATGTTTTGCAGGTGATGTCTCTTCAACCATACTCCCAGTCCCATAAAAAAATGAACGGGACATTATTACAACAAATCTGAATATATGTATATCTAAAGTGTTTCATTCATTTCTATGTTTGTTTTTTATGGGGCGGAGGGAGTAAGGCTAATAACACTCGATATGATTATTATATTTTATTTTCAGAAGGATTGCACTTGAACGTCATTTCTTAATTAGAATAAAACAAGCAGTCTACTGCACAAATGATTAATATATACGCCACGTGAACCACACCTTCTGTACGAAATTAATTGACCGCGTGATCGCGTCTCTATCACTCATACTATACTCGCAAGGCAGCAGATGATAATTCCTGTTTCTCTTCAGTTCTTCGATCACCAAATCGCCACATCAATTACAACTTATAGTACAAATTTTATATTTTTAATCCGTCTGAGATTCTTGTTTATGCTGACCCCCCAACTGCCAAATCCTTCTTAGCATTACTTTAAAGGGTGATCACTGTGCATGAGTTGACGAAATACGGTGCAAAACAAATGGAAAATTTTAAACGCAGTAGAAAGTCAACCGCAATCTTAAAAAATATCATAACCAATGAATCCAGCTCGATCGAAAAGCTAATTTCGAAATTTTGTAATATTTTTTTTAAAAAATTGTCTTCTTCCCGATGAAAGCCACATTCTAACCGAAACATTTTGGTAATTAATTTGGCGTAAGCATTTTTTTGCAGTGAGCCGAGTCATAATAATCTCTCTATATATAGGCTCAAATCGAGAAAGGAGAGGCGCCACTGGAGAAGCCATTTTGCATATCCAAGCTCCAACCATGGCGACGAGGCCGGCGCGGTTGTCTGCTCCCGCAGTGGCGGCTATACTTGTCGCCGCCTTAGCCTTGTGCGCAGCCACGGCGTCGGCGGCGAACGTCACGACGACGACGGCGACGGCGCCGAGCGGCGGGTGCTACAGCCACCTGTTCACCTTCGGCAACTCGCTGATCGACACCGGCAACTTCATCCACTACTCCACCTCGCCGGGCCCCGTCGCCCGCTCCCCCTACGGCGAGACCTTCTTCCGCCGCCCCACCGGCCGCTGGTCCGACGGCCGCCTCATCGTCGACTTCATCGGTAACGCAAACCACCCATGAGCTTAGCTTAGCTATCTCTACCTAGCGCCGCCGCCGCCGCCGGAGACGATGACGATGACGACGATGTGATGGATTGATGCAGTGGAGAGGCTGGGGTTCCCGTACTGGACGCCGTACTTGGCCGGGAAGAGCAGGGAGGACTTCCGGTACGGCGCCAACTTCGCGGTGGCGAGCGGGACGGCGCTGAACCAGCTGCTGTTCAAGAAGAAGCACCTCAGCGTCGCCGGCATCACGCCCTACTCCCTCGCCGTCCAGGTCGGCTGGTTCAAGAAGGTTCTTGCCATGCTCGCCTCCACAGAACAAGGTTAATCATCGCCAATTTTATACTAATTAAGTAATCCCTCTATTTCAATTCGTAAGATGCTTTGACTTTTAAATTGCTTTAAATTTAATTAAATTTATATATAAATATAGTAATATTTATGTTACAAAATTAGTTTTATTAAATTAATAATTAAATATATTTTTATAATAAATTTATCTTAGGTAAAAAAATATGACTATGTTTTTTATAAATTTGATTAAATTTGAAACAGTTTGACTTAGTCAGTCGTCTTATAATATGAAACTAGATAAGATTATTAATCTCAGCGATATGATTAATAATTAACTGGAATTGATGTTGATGTTGCTGTTTAATTCGTACGCATGCTGCGTGTACGATTCAATTTGTTCACTGTTAATGTAACACGACGATGAGCGAATTATATCGATGATTTTGTTGGAATGTTGGGCCGATGAATCATTGAATCAGCAGCATTTCGTTGAGACTGTAGGTCAGTGTACCTTGTTTGTACGCGAGGAACTGCATTACTGTCGGCACTGTTAATCACGAACGTACGGAGAATAGCCCATAAACTGTAGTCAGATCTCGTTATTTCTGATAACATTTTTTAAAATTACTAAACGATATACTTCGTGTGAAAAATTTTTATATAGAAATTGTTTTAAAATATTATATAATTTATTTTTTCAGCTTTGTAATAATTAAAATATAATTAATTATGTACTAATGTTTTTTCTTGTTTTTCATGCCATAACTTCATCTTTATCTTAATAAAAAGCGAACACCAACTTTGGAACGCGTTGTAATTTCTGAAACTCCAGGCCAAAAAATCGAATTTGTTTTAGCCTACCAACAAAGTTGTTCAAATTCATTTTTTTCATTCAAAATTTTCGAATTTTTTAATTTTTTAAAAAAATCATGAAATTTTGAGCAATGACGGTGGTGATGAACCAAAATGGTTAAAATGGTTTGCAGAGCGGAAGGAGGCGATGGCGAGGTCGGTGTTCATGGTGGGCGAGTTCGGCGGCAACGACTACCTCCACCCGCTGTTCCAGAACAAGACGCTGGAGTGGGTGCGCCCGCTGGTGCCGCGCGTCGTCCGCTACATCGCCGGCGCCGTCGAGGAGCTCGTCGGGCTCGGCGCCACCACCGTCTACGTCCCGGGCCTCTTCCCGCTCGGCTGCGTCCCGCGCCTCCTCTTCCTCTTCCGGGACGGCGGCGCCGGCGACCGCGACCCCGCCACGGGCTGCCTCCGGGGGCTCAACGACGGCCTCGCCGCCCTCCACAACGCGCTCCTCCGCCGCCGCCTCGCCGAGCTCCGCGCCGCGCACCCGGGCGTCACCATCGCCTACGCCGACTACTACGGCGAGGTGATGGAGCTCGTGTCGAACCCCGCGGCGAGCGGGTTCGACGACGCCCTGACCGCGTGCTGCGCCGGCGGCGGGCCGTACAACGGCAACTTCACCGTGCACTGCTCCGACCCCGGCGCGACGCAGTGCGCGGACCCGTCGCGGCGCATCTCGTGGGACGGCCTGCACATGACGGAGGCGGTGTACCGGATCATGGCGCGCGGCGTGCTCGACGGCCCGTTCGCCGACCCGCCCATCATGTCCAGATGCCACGGCTACTAGCCTACTAGCTAGCTTAAGCCAGTTTGGGATTTGCTCATTTGTTAATTTGCACGGACAATTTTTTTTTTCGAAAATTCGATTTGTCGCCTGTTTGTTCGACTATCTAAAGTCTTCAAACCAACTGGGAAATGCAGCGCCCTCAGCGTTTTGCGCTGCCGTGGCCATCACGGGGTCGCGACGCGTGGACGCGCGCTGGAGAGCGGATGGATTTCACGGCCTTTCATGCGTCCGCGTCGCCTCTGCAAATTTTACAGAAAAGCCCTCTCTTTTATAGATATTTTGTTATACGTCCTCTCTGTTCTTTTCTCGGTTTAAAATATTGCGTTTAGGCCCTTTGCATCCTACGAAATTCAATACAAAGGAGACAAAAAGAGGAAAAAAGGACTGCGCCCTGAATCCTAGAAACTGAAGGGCATTTTCGCAAAATTTCCTTTTCTTTCTCTCTCTCTCTCCCCTTCGCGAGAATCCCAGGCGCGTAAAAAAAAAAGGAAAAAACTCCCAGCCGCCATGCCCCTCTCATCTCTCTCGCTCTCTCCTGCGCGGCGCCTGGATTTGGCTTGGCCGTGGCCGCCGCTGGGTGTCCTCCCAGTGCCGTGGCCGCCGCCGGGTGTCCTCCCTACGTTGCTGCCATTCTCCGCTCGAAGGGGATCGATGTTGTGGATGGGTGGTGTCCTCGCAGCGCCCTCACTGCCGGTGCTCTCCTTGCTACGCCGCCGCTGACGCAGACTCGAAGGGGAGGCTGTGGGTGTTGGATGCGGCAGCCGCGATTTCTTTGCCAGCGGATCCGGTGGCTCATCAATGGCGTCCACACCAGCGGTTTTTCCTCAGTGGTGAGCTCCAGAGGGAAAGGGCAAGCTCACCCACCCTTTCTTTCTTCACAATTTCCCTCTCTGTCTGATCCAGATCCAAAGCTGATGGGAAAGTTCGATTTAGGACATTCAGGGTTGTCGGGTGTGTTGAGCTCGGTGGTGGCGGCAGTAGCAGCTTGGCGGCGATGGGAGAATTTACATGCAGGAGCCCAAAGCATTGATGTTTTCTGCTCTTCCCCACCACGGTTTGCCGCTGCCATGGATGCTGTTGACTCCTCACATGTCAACCACGACTAGGATCCTGGTGAGTTTGGTGGGCTTTTGTGGCTGCTTGCCACCCTATCCGTTTGATTTAGGGGCTGTTTGGATGCCCACCTCAATTTACCATAGTTTTTTTTACCAAAGGTGTGGCAAGATGCAAATTGTGTGGCTCAAAATTTGATGGCCACACTTGTGGCAAACTTTGGCTAAGAAAATGGTCTATGACTAGTGGGACCAAAAGAGTAGAAAGTGTGGTATGCTAAAGTTATAGAAACAAACCAAACACTAGCCACATTTGGTCAAACTAACATACCTCAAGTGTGGCAAAATGTGGCACCAACCAAACAGGCCCTAGATCGTGCGGCCTTTATCCGTGATAATTTGTGCGGTGTCGTTCAATTGCGTTTGTGAATTTTCGGTGTGTTTGACGGTGGGCGATGCATTGTCAATGCAGTTGGTCTATGGCTTTGGTGTCGCTGGCGTGTAGGCCATATGGTTAGCATTGCTTTCGGACCTACCATGGAATGTGCCTATGTAGTGAGGCACAACTGTGCATGCTTGATCTTGCGCGCAAACGAGCGTGAGTGCGGTTGTCAGCTCGGGGAGTGCGGTTGTCAGCTTGGGATGGTGCAGGCCGCGTGCTGTCATTGGCTCAATTTTTCTCGGTTGCATATTGGTGAACCTGGTCTATATACTCTTGCTGGCTGTATTGTGGGGCCTTATCGGATGTAGTATTAGGAAGTTTTCTCATGGTGTATACTCCAGGGTGTTTCCTTCGTCACATGAGATGCGTTAGGCCATCCCACTTTCAGGTGGGGTTGAATGCCATGGGGTCCATGTATGCTCCTCCCCTATTGGTGGATATGGTTGGTCCTATTAGAAGTGCTACAGTTTTGTCTCTGCCTTCATCTCTACTGGAGTAGTATATTTCTTTCCAAATGCTGGGAGCCGCCTTCTTTTCTCCTCTTCCCTTCCAAACTTTCACCATCGTTTTCATTGCTTTATCGTTTTCAACTTTTCATCGCTCTTTTGCTGCTTGCGTCCTCACGTGCACTTCACATCTATTTGTTGTTGCTTTTGATCATTGAATATGGCACGATAAGATGTAGACGTGATTGTGATTTGGTTGTGGGTGCTATTCGATGTTGCTTTTCCTGTTTTTATGCCTTCTGATCGTTCTTTCATCTGTGGCTTGGTTTGTAGAGGGCCGGATTTGCACGGGCTGAATCGATGCTTCAAGGGTTCTTGATTGATTTTGCCAGCGAATGTTGGGGCTGCTGGTTCAATCAGGCAGGTTAGGTTATTTCTACTATATTTGCTTTAAACGATATAGAAATATCTCATGTATTTGTTGTGCCTTCTGTATCAGGTTTATGTTTGCTAATGATCTCTTTCTATTGTGCAGCTCTGGTCAACTTTATTGGTGACTATCCTTTCCTAGACTTTCTTCTATTTCTTGGTCGAGGTCTTTGTCTTTTGTGGGTATCTGTCTTGCGTGGCATTTTCTTGGTTACGTTGCTTCTGCCGCGTTGTCAACTCACTGGGTGCTGTTTCGTATAAGGTATTCCCATCTGTCTTGTACTATGTTTCAATATTTCCTTTTCGGTTTATTGATTACTATTTTGCACTATTTTCTGCTTCTTTTTGATATTGTGCATTTATGGTGCTTTGTTTGTTACTATATTGATAGCTTACCTGTGACACTTAGCGCTTGGTACATGCGTGTTCTCGGTTTCGTAAGCCATTGCAGTCATAATGGTCACTGCAGTACCTTTTGTAGCCGTTGCACAGTGCATACACTTCTTGCATACTCTCTTTCCTAATATTTTGTCCCTTGCTGCCCATAAGAATGTTGCTTTCCTCTGCCTCATGTTTTCTATCAAAGTCAGCTAGGTTTTTGCTTTGTTCTTCCAGATGTCATCTTTTCTTGCTTTGGAGCTATTATTGTAAAACTTCCTCTTTCCATCTAAATATGTTTGCTATTGATGCCTCGTTTTGTCCTGCTTCTAGCTCTGCATGCTTCTAGATTCTAACTCTACCTCCCTTTATCTAGAGTAAAATTAAAACTATCATTCGATAGTTTGTAAAATATGCATTTGGCGTTTTAATCCTACATGGCTGCACAACTTTTGCACATTACCTCTGATTTTTTTTTTGGGAAAAGTTAGTAATTATCTTTAAGACAAGCTTGCCATATGAAGTTTTAAAGATATAACCTCTATTATTAAATATTGTTTATCTCTGGTAAAAAAAATACAAGTAATCAATCCGCGCACTGCGACCTCAAAGCAAAAGTTTTGCTTCTTGCCTGTTCTCGCTTTTCACAAATTAAATTGAGATCTAAATAAACACCCAGTGATTTGGAACATGGAAAATATACTCATGTATGATGGAGTTTATATGATGGCTAGGAGAGTGGGAGAGTGCCAGGGTTCCTTGCAAGACATATTTTCCCTTTTGAAACAAAATATATCTATTTTATATAGTGCAAGATATTTATTCAGCGAGTTGACAGAAATTCAGTTTGCTGTGAAGGCTTCCAAATGGACTAATTTTGCACTTTAATTAGGCATTTGTTTTTATATATAAACTCCTTTTAACATTCTTTTTCTGTTGTTGCTTCGGAGTGACATATCTCATTCTGAGCTTTCAGCAGGGCAGTTTTGCTGTTATGTAAGTGATATATTAGTGCTGCAGTTGTTAAACTGTTGAAGCGGCTTGATAGTTCTGCAAATTGGGTAGTGTGCCTTTAAACTATTAAGTCTTTTTTTGCCTTTTTTGCAAGTTTAGTTCTTTTTTTATGATATTCTGCAAGATGTTAAGTCAAATCCATGATTATTATTGCACGCAATTATTTTAAGCCACCTCTTATATCTATATTCAGGGGTATCTGTGACTACATTTTTTTTTTGCTTTAGTGCGATATTGATTACTTCACATTAAACATGCCTACTGCATGATATGATTTTTGTATTGTGCTATTAGTATTCAATGATTCTAGAATATTGGAGCTTGGCTGCTGATATTTTATTTATACTAGCTGTATGATGTGAGGTTTTTCCAGAACATGCTCCCACAATTTCATCATATATGCCTATTTATTCATGATGCTCATGCTTTGTATATACATAGGGTTCTGTTCAGCTTTGTTACATCTTATAGTGTATAAACAGTACGATTGGTTGTACAATGATTTAATCGTCAGACCAAAGGGAGGTTCAGTGCACTGTAAAGGAACATTTTCTGATGCATTAGGCTTAATGTATGTCCCTGCTTAGAGTATTTTGTATGTTACAGGTCTTCCTCAAAAGTGAAGACCCAGCAAATTGTTGGGAGTTGGGACCTTAGTTTTCAAAGACTTTGCTTTGCATTGTGTAATGTAATATTTTTTTACAAATATATTTGAGAGTTAAACTACTAATATATTACAGTTCTTCTCTGTTTGATAATAGCAGTAGTATTTTAACATGAGGCAATATGATGAAAAGAGGTTACTGGGTCCCAAAATTTTGGTTTTTAGTGTTTCTCAAACGTCTCATAGCAAAAGTAGCCAAACATGCATGCATACTGTGGCTTGTGCATTTGATCCTACACAGACTCTAGGAGGTGTAGCAACTAACTTTCCTACACACAAACTTGTTTTAAAGGAAGGTAGTGTTGTTATGCTTCTACGAAATTTGAACCAATCAATAGGCCTTTGTAATGGAACAAGACTATTACTTATTGCTTTAGGCGAAACAATTTTACAATGTACTATACTAACTGGATCAAACATCGGTGAAACAGTTTATATACTAAGAATTACACTAAGCACATCGAAAATGAAATGGCCTTTTGCATTACAAAGGAGACAATTCCCAGTTCGAGTTTGTTATGCAATGACTATCAACAACAGCCAAGGACAAACACTTGAGCAGGTTGGCATATACCTTAGGAAACCTGTCTTTACGCATGGGCAACTCTATGTTGCTATTTCAAGAGCAACAAACCGATCAGGCCTCAAAATACTGATTGAAAACGATGACGGGTCAAGTGGAAACCAAACAAGAAATGTTGTTTATACCGAGATACTTTCTGCTACAATGGAAGCGGTGTGCCCTCGCTGCCGCTCTGCATATTTTATCTCTATGTTTACCTACATTCTTGGTGTCACAGTGGACGTTCTTTCCTATTGCAGGCTTCACCACTCCATGTGTAGCATGCTTTCCCTCATCAGCTAATTGCAATGGCTTTTGTGCTCACATGTAGTATATGCAATGTAGTATAAATCTTGGAGTATATATATTGTGCTCACATGTAGTATATGCTGTAGCACTGGTGCACCAACAGACTACTAGATTTCCATGTGCTATTTTCTCACTGCTTAGTTCATTACATTGATGCTTTATATATACGTAAAACTAAATATCTTCAATATTTAATTACAGGCTTCCAATGGTATACGTGCTTATTTCAGACCTTATGTATGGGGACACTAATAAACAGTTCAAGGCAAGAGTATCTAGGCAATGGGACTACCATGATCTGAATGATGAAACAAAAATCTTCCACACTGATCTTGTCTTGCTGGATGAAAAGGTTATAGTCTAATTAACACTCATTTCTTCTTTATTAATACTTACATACAAATATGGTACTAACAAGGTGCTTTATATACACAATATGCAGGGCAATAGCATCCATGTTCAAATCTATCCACCTGCCATGATTAAGCTTAGGACTCTTCTACAGGAAGGGAAGGTTTACTACTTTGACTCCTTCTCTGTCAGATATGCAAACTGAACATATAGGCCAGTTACGAACCCTTTGATGATCTCATTCACTAAATGGACAACCTTAGAAGAATGCATTGATGCTTCTGATGATTTCCCTGCCATAACTTTTTCATTGACACCTTTTCAAGACGTCCCGTCTCTTGTGGACAAAAATGCTTTCTATGTTGGTATAACCTCCTTATCCCTTTTTTGTCTTCCTATGTTTACTTCTTATACATTAGTGGTTTATTGTTTACATATATCTTCTCTTTAACCAGATATTATGGGTGTCATAACTGAAATTGGTGCAACAGACACTCTACGCCCAAAATCAAGAAACACAGAAACTTTGAAAAGAACAATGCAGATTTGGGATGCAAGGTAAGCTACAGTATAGACTGAAATTTTCTTTTGTTATAAACTGCCTTTACCTTACATTATCCACACTAACTATTGTAACAAGTTACTAATATTGATCACCAAAAATTTATAATCATTTTATAAAACTAGCAATTCTACACTGCCTATCACACTATGGGGAAATACTGCAGCTGCATTCAATGCAGAAGAATTATACAATGCTGGTCAAAAGAAACCTCAGGTTATTGTTTTTGTTGGAACAGTTGTCAAGAACTACAAAGGGATAGGTATATCTCTATAAATTTGTACCAAAATCTTTTCATGCCTTCTGTAAATCTGCAGTACATATTTATTAATACAATTATATACAGGACTAACTTTAAATGGAAGTTCACCATGCAAATGGTAGATTAACCTTGATATGCCTGAAGTGCTTGAGTTAAAAGAAAGGTGACACCACAAGCTTATATTATTGTTTTAATGCTTACACAATCATCCATTTACATATACATTTTCCCTGCGATACATTATTATTTAAGATATCTTCTTTCTGTAGCTTTAGCGCAAACTTTCAACCTATCAAGTGGGTTGAACTGCTACCACAGGGTTTAACCAGGATATTCCAGAAGAAAAAACCATAGCACAAATCCTTGCTCTCAACCCACACAAACATGCGGTCAGTGCCACCTCAGGCTTTGTTACTGCAATATTGTCCTTTCTTATTTGACAAAAATGATAAAATCATATTTCTTTGCAGCGAGCACGTTTTATAGTCAGAGTGACTATTAAAGGCATATCAAGCAACAGCTCCTGGTGGTATTATTCATGTGACATATGCTACAAGACCTCAAAACCATATGGTTCCACCTATAAATGCACCAGCTGCTCCAATGTAGGCATACCAGTGCCAAGGTAAGAATATGCTGGCACAATTTCCTCCATGCTTATTTCACAGTTATCAAAACTGCTATAACTATTTCTATTCTGCATGTAGATACAAGGTTGTGTTGATCGCTGCTGATGATACTGCTCAAGCTACATTTATCCTCTTTGGGAGAATAGCACAACGCCTCGTACGCAAACCGGTTGAGACTCTCATTGACCAAAATCCACCTGACAGTGAATATATTCCAGATGAGATTGTAGCTCTTTTCAACCAAACCTTTATCTGGAACATCAGCTTCACACAAGATACTATTATGAAAAATCAAGAAACCTTACAGGTTAACAACATTATCTCATCCAATGCTGAAGTGCAGGGCCTACTGCCTATCTCACCAAGCAGTTCACAACAGACATTAGCTATTATGCCAGCAGACTCAAGCAGCTCTCTCCAACTAGCACCAGCAACAAGTGAAGGCAGTACAGGATCAAAGATAGAAGCACAAACGACAGAAAGTATGTTACCAATGGATAGTCCATCGACACCAACAAGGTATACTATCAGTTCTGCTTCAGATCAGACACCAACTAGCAAAGCTAATGCACCAGCACCAAGCAAGAAAAGCTATGTCCTATCAGTCTCTCCCAAGCCAGCTCAAGATAAACAGATCTCATTCTCACATGATCCTAAGGTTTCTATTCTAACATCGCTACTTACACAATAACTATTTTTATCACTGCATCACAAGTAATATAACTTTGCATTTTCTTTCAATGGTCAGGCAACAACTGAGACAAAAATTAAGGGAGAACCTCCGCAGATTGCATCGTCTGTTGAGCTATCTTCTGCTACTCAGGACAAGGTAATTAATACTTATCCCTGCTTTCAGCAAAAACTATAAACACTGACAACATAAACTATCCTACAAGGCAAAGGCACTAGCAATAGCAGCAGAAGATACTCCATCAGCATCCCCATCACCGCCTACCAAAAACATTCCCCCAAAAAGGTATATTTTTCCATCATTCCTCAGTTACAACAACTTTCTATTCTAGCAAAAATATAATCTAACTGTATCCTGAACAAAAACAGGCCTGCAGCCTCAGCCTCAGCCTCAGCTGCTAAGAAACTATTTAAAGATGACAGTCAGCAGAAACATAAGAAAAGGTCAGTACATAAACAATCATCTCAATTCTATATATCATAGGACACATAGCTCAATACATATTTGCTAATCCATACTTTTCTTTGCTCTTTATCTAGCGGATGAAGAAGGAAACAACATGCAGCACATTACTGTCCCTTTTGGTTATATGTCCAGGATGTCACCAGTATGCACACCCACCCTTAGAAGCAACGCCATTTGTTTAGAACCTCTGCATTATGGCCACTAATGTAAATAGCTGCTGTCATATATATGGCGTTTGCTTCGTAGAATCCTTTTGCTTTACATGAAACTGCAATCCAGACTATGACCAAGCACTTATGGTTGGAATCCTATAACTCTTAATTATTATTACTCTGGATGTCTACTGCTTTGCTATGCTCCTTATTTTCAGGGTAAAGATATGGCATAAAAATATGCATGAGATAGCTCTCAGCCAACTGTTGTTGCTAATCTGGGATGACCTACATTACTGTTGTTATGGAAAAATAGAAATGTATTAAGCTGGGATACATGTTTGTTTCTAATCTGGGAGACATGTTTTTTCCCAGTTAGATTCATGTCTAGCAACATAAGCTTTATAGATCTTTGATCTTAGTCAGTCCTGTTGAATGGTGCTATTTTGCCTTAATTTTCCTTTCTTATCTTCTAGAATAACATAGCTTCACTTTCCTGATTATTTTCTACAACAATATAGCATCTGTTATAAATCATCCTTTGGTGCTGCATTTTAATCACAGTAAAAATCTGGCAGCTCCAACCTGTCCCAAAAAAAGTCACAGTTGCTTCATTTAATTGCTTCCTTTCTTGGAATTCATTTATAATTGTTTGCAAAATGGTTTATAGTACCTCAGCTCTGTAAGATAGGTGCTATATAAACAAAGCATTCAAGCTTTGGAATGAAATGCTGTACAAGGAATTTAAAGGTGATGCTGTCCCATGCAGCATTATCATATGATGGTACAATGTTCATGGCTAATCTGATAAGCCTTTGGGAATATACATTAAAATGCAAATGTGCAGTGCAACCAAACTGAGATAGATATAGAGCTCTTTTGTTAGCAATCTCTGATGGTTAGCAAGCGACAGGCATTGGTGCTGACCATCAGAAAATCTGAAATGCAAGCGATAGGGCAATGCATTTCAGGTTCTCTGATCCCAGATCTATCTCCTACAAACTGGGATACATATACATCTTTTTCTTGGATACTTGCTGGTGGAATTGGAACTATCTATTGATTCATTCTTCGTTAGGTTTGGGACACAGGGGTGTGCTGATTAGTGAAAGTAGCTGTGATAGGTCTGGGTGGTTGAGAATTTTGTCAGTGCATTCCATCAACAACCATCTGATTCCCGAGATTTAAAATTTGAACCATATCTCCCTGAAAATCACCTGGCTTCACATCTTGCTCTTTCATCTTCCTAAATACCACACATGGCTTTTCCTTATCATGTTGTTTCAGAGCACCACATACAATTATGGTCAAACTATTATTTATTTTTCATAGCACATGATCTTTGATACTAGCTTAATATTAGTTTTTCATACAGCACACAACATCATGTCAAATTCCTATAACTTTAAAGATGTTTGGTCATATATATTATAAATTGTTAATTAATTTTCCATCAAGATTACTCTTCTACCATAATGCTTCTTCCTTAACTTTGTATAACTAAATAACAACAAATTCCCCTCTTGCACCACTGGTGCCGCGCGTTCGACTCTAGTGTTTTGTATGCGTGCTGATATTGTTATTGTAATTTGGAAAAAAAAAGTGGATTGGCCCGTTCGTTTCATCCTATTGGAGAAGATGTTTCAGTTCGTGTGAAACAAGAGAACTCACTAGCATATGATTAATTAAGTATTAACTATTATAAACTTAAAAGTTCGATTTATTTAATTTTTTAAACAATTTATATATAATTTTTTTTTAAAAAAACACCCCATCTAATAGTTTAAAAAACATGCTAACGAAAAACGAAAAAAAATAAAGTTTGAAGTTGAAAAAAGAGCCCCTGAATACACTCTTCTCTACTCTGAAAATGCATTTGTCTGAACTCTGAAAATACTTTGCTTAGTTAAGACTGTAAACTATGCTGTGTGTTTGATCAGGCCGGCAATCCGTTTCTATCCAAACCATCTTTCGTCAATTCCAACTTGTCTTGATAGGATTGCTGAGATCGATTTAGATGTCCTCTCCGACTCCGACTCCTCTGCTCTGCTCTACTTAAGCTAGCCCGGGCGGGCGGACGACGATCGCCGGCGGGAGGAGAGGCCTCCTGAGCCATGGCTACCGTCTTCCCCTACAGGTGGAGTAGAACCGAGCACCTCACTCTGCGCCCGCCCTGCCATGGCGGCGACCCTCTGGATGCACACCAGCCTCTACCATGGATCCTCCTCGACGTCCGCGCCTACATCGCCGACCGCCGGAACTCCACCACCGCCGCCGCCGATCTCGGCAACGGCCACCATCTTTACCGCCCCACCGCCGCTGGTATCCTACATCTGTGCCTGGTCCATTTGACGAACAAGGTAATTACTCTGGATGAGGGGCAGGGAGAGGTGGCCTTCATTGATCTCAAGCGGGGAATTAATCCACATCTGCAACGTGCTCGCCCATGGCTGTCCTGGAAGTCACCTGCCACTGCCGCCAGAGCTCATCAACTCTCCAATGAGCTTCAATACCTCATCGCTTTGCCGGGACATTGCCATCGTTAATGGCCTTCTCACCATTGTCAGACTGCGTACTTGCTTTGATTCGGACACTGGTTGCTGGTCCTGGGATCTGTCCACATGGAGCAAACCGGTGGCTCATCTGGGCGACAACAAGGGCTGGCAAAAGGGCTTCATGGTAGATTCTAGTGACATCACGGTCGACGCCACTTGCTGCAATGTCCAGCTCCTGCCTAAGCTGGAGGGTCGACCGGCCATGGCAAAGCTGCAGGTAGACAGATGCTAATGTTGCCTACGTCATGGGCAAGGTTGACGCCTCTGATGAGAAGGCGGTGGTGTTGGCGGTTGACATGGCCAACAAAAGGCTTCAAACGGTGTCTGTGTATGACGCCGAGAGGATCGTCGACGACTTTGATTACTCCTACACGCAGTCTACCATCTCCCAATATTTCACTACAGCTGCAGGTGATTAATTAATTCTTGGCCTGTTCTTTCTGCTTATTGCTTTTCTTTTCGGTAACTTTGTGTTGCATATGACAGTAAACCTGATTCAAAGTTGTGATTGCTCATATATTTTAAACCTGTGTGGCTGCTGCTATAGTGCTAGTTGGACTTGTTAGTTTAGGCTGTAATTATTTTGAACCTCGCTAGACTCTTTACCCCTCTAATTATGGAAGCCGCCTTTGGTGAGATTCTAGACAAGTTATAGAGTACAGTTCCAGATAAGATGTACTCCAGAGTACATGAAATGCAAGCTATGTGGAACACAAACCCAGCCAAATGCAACTGCATTTTGGATTCTAGATTGCCTTCATATCAAAATTTTCTTGTCAGTGCACGCTATATCAAGAACATGCACATAATTAAACAAAGTGAGCCTTTATTAAAAGAAATTGTCAGAAATGAAAACAGAAACAAGATTTCTGCCCCCATCAAAGTGGGGAGAGAGAAGACCACTTTAGGTGCTCTTGCATTTTTTAAACATTCTTGAACTAAATTGGTTTATGCTCTTGTAGGTTTTCTTTTTGTCACTCTCATACAAATGTACCTACATTTGTGTGTAGGCTATATGCACTAACTCATGGGCCCTTTGTTTTGCTGTTTTACTGGGTGCAGGTGTAAAGGGAAACCTGAAGAGACCTTTGAAATTTCATGCGCAATATCCTCACAAGCGGCTGGGTGAAACAATCAGCAGGAGCGATAATCCTATGGACTTGCATGAGCCATTGCAACTGGATATTGGATTTGGTTTGGGAACTAAAGACGAAACTGAAGACAGCGATAATCCTATGGACTTGGAATAGCCATGCATGCCCCTTTGGAGTGAAACTAAATGGGCATAAAATAATTAGAGCTGTTGAGAATCATGCCCGAGCATAAATTATTACTCCCTCCATTCCAAATTGATTTACATATAGTTTTTAAGTTTATTCCTAAATGATCTACATATTTGTGTTCATTTAGTAGAGTCTATTCGTTATTTGTGTATTGGAGTAAATGGACATTGATGCATGCATCCATACACACAAGTATTTATAACCCATATGCAATATCTTGATTTGCTATTGGCTAGGAAATATTGGGGATGGTGCATGCATTGAGTTTGTTGCTAGAGTAAATATAACATGAGAGAATTATTAATTTTTCTTGGTCTTAGTGTACCTATGAAATATGTAGATCAATTTAGAATGGAGGGAGTATAAATTAATTTGAGCTGTTGAAAATCATGCCCGGGCATAAATTAATTAGAGCTAGCTGTTGAAAAGCATGCCCCGTTATGTATTTTGGTTATTGTGCATGACTGCATTTTAGATTTGCCTTGAATGGATATGTTTATGCTCTCTTGGACTCTATTTGATCGTTTAGAGAGTTGTCTTTGGAGCCTGGTGTTGATCTTGATTTCATCTATAATTCTGTTTCAAAAATATTTTTTTCCTCTTTGTTCGAGTATTAGATTGTAACAATTGGCTGTAACTCTGTTGAGTAAAGACCGGGATGTTATCTATTCCATTATTAAAAAAATAATCCAGAAATAGCAGGGGAAGCCCACTGCTCCATTTTCATGAAACCGGAAAATAGAGTTTGTTGCAGAGAGTGGTCGTTCGCCACGACTTGACCTCCTCCGCCAACGAAATGTATTCGCCAATTACGCATACTAGTTCATATGCTACAGATCGATCTGAGACGTCCACCGCCTGATCTGATCAAGAAAGAATGTGAAGTATTCGCCAATTATGCATAGTTCATACGGTACAGATCGATCTGAGCCGTCCACTGCCTGATCTGATCGGGAAAGAAGATTGCTCGAGTGGCCTTACCAGAAAATCAGGCTATCGTCAGACACAAGCCACTACCAGCGACAATACAACCCATAGCAATTCAAAATAAGCAGAACAGGAGATCTATTTATATTGTTAAAAAAAAATGAATAGGCGAGCAATTGCAATACAACCAACCGCATACGAATTGTCTGTATCCCACAACAAATGGTAGTGCGCAATAGCACCAATGAGCGTGCCTGGTGATTTTCTCAAATGTGACTAGAATTGGACCACAGAATATGCTGAAAAGCCAGCTCATTACTAGATTCATACAGCACGAACAATGAGATTGAGACATTGAGGTGGATAATTTTCATGGTGTGTAGGAGAGCAGCTCTCATCATCACTTCCGAGAGGCCTGGAGTCTATATTTGTTTTCAGTTCCCACAGTTTGAAATAAGTCCAAAGTCATGCGGATACCAGCAAGGAACTCCTGCAAATGCAAAAGGGAGTTCAGACTTCAAAGGTTTCAAGAAACCAAATTACAATGACAAATGGACAACACTGATTGTTAATTCAGGGCCTCAGGGGTAATGAATTGATAAAAAGGATGAACAAGATCTCACCTGACTTATCTTTTTTTCACCGGGAAAGGCCGAAGGAGGCCATCCGAGTATATTAAGGAGGAGTAAAGTTACAAAGAAAAACACGACAGAAGTTGTCAAGTACGGACGTGCACAAGGCACCTCCAAGAACCACACGCTAACCACACAAGCACAAACCACTGAAAATGGAACTGAGCACCAAAATGACCCCCCTAAGCATGGCTGATCGCCGCCCGGCCTACAACAACACCACAAAGGCAAGACTCCAAAAACGATGCCCCCATGGAGGTCACGACATCAAGGACGCCGCTATCGCCCATCTAAGAAAGATGTGGTTTCCACCCAAAGAGAACTCGCCAAGAAAGGGGGAGAGGTACCCACGACAGCGCCCCCAAGAGGGTTACGACACTCGAAGGTGTAGCCGTTGCCGGCCCGGTGATCACCGAGTGAGGCTTTCGCCTGGAACCCCTAGAACCTCTCAAGTAGTTTGTCGCCCACCAACTCAGTAACCACCACACAAGCATTGGCAGCGCGTGGCTTCCACCAAGACCGCACCAGCGCCTCTCTGCTGGTTGACTTCTGAACTTGCCGCAGAACCCTGCCGCCAGCTCGCTGCATCCCACCGCTCCTCCCCTGAGAGCTGGCCCAGGCCACCTCCGTCCCGCCACCCGCCGGCCTCCTCGCCAAGTTCGACCAAAGGAGAATCCGGACTGGACAGTGTCACTTCGGCCGCCTGAGCTTCCCCTGCTGACCAGCAGCCGCCTCAACCCAACCGAAACTCCCCACAAAGAAGGGGAGGAGTTCAAGAAGGGAGAGGGTGCTGACTGGCAACAAGGAAGACGACGCACCGCCGCCAGCTCCCATGAGCACTGACACTAGACCTGCAACGCCGAATCCGGCCGCCGCCCGAGGTCTCCAGCGCCACCACCTGACTTATCTACTTCTCCTGTTCCTACTTCTCGACGAATGATTCAACAGTCCTCAACCCTAAACTCGTGCAAGAACTCAGGGTAGTTCGTTATCAACCTCCCTCTTATGCAAGAATTTCCTCACCAACTCTCTCTCCTTAGCCTCCAGATTCCTGCGAACTCTCTCTCCCTCTTATGCAGCTTCTTCTTGGCCCACTTCACTGCCTCTGCTCTTCCATGGAGGAGGGGAACTAGCCTTTATGCCAGTTGCCAAATGTGTATGGTGTGCTTCGACACAAATAACTTACTCCCTTCGTTTCTAAATATTTGACACCGTTGACTTTTTTAAACATGTTTAACCGTTTGTCTTATTCAAAAATTTTAAATAATTATTAATTCTTTTCATATCATTTGATTTACTGTTAAATATACTTTTATGTATACATATAGTTTTACATATTTTACAAAAGTTTTTTTAATAAGATGAACGGTCAAACATGTGCTAAAAAGTCAACGCTGTCAAATATTTAGAAACAGAGGGAGTAGTAAATAAATATTGTCTCAGAAACTCATGGAATAAACCAAGTGGGCATTGAGCACGTCGATGGTTCCTGCTCCCGCAATATCGGTACTTGAATTTTTTTTTTCATTTTTAAATTTTTATTTTTTAATATTTATAGAAATATTGCACCAGCGAAAATATTTACAGAAATAGACCCTACTGCCCTCGGCAGGGTGACGTGAGGGACAGACAAGTTGAAAAAAAAACTAGAAAAATGCATTTTTGGCAGGGCGAAAATTGTATTTACCCCCTTGCAGCCCTTGTAGAGGGTACAAGGGCGGCAAGGGACCTAAGTGTAAAATGCGCACACCTTGCCGCCCTCCACTTGGGCGGCAGGGGCCATTTGTGTAAATATTTTGGATGGTATAATATTTATGTAAATATTAAAAAAATTAAAATTAAAAATGAAAAAAATTCATCTGTACTTAAGCTTGGTTTCGTGCCCATTTTATTGTGTCCTTTCTGGGCCTAGCCCAGAAGAGGCCCAAGACCTGAGAGGTTTATTTTGGGCCGGAATCTGAAACAGAGTTGGACCCGATAATCCAGCAAGCGACTGCGCCGCGTAGACGTCGGCTCCGTCTGGGTTGGACTCGCCGTCGTCGTCTCGTCTCGTCTCCAGCGAGTTCGAGGCTTCGAGAGCGAGAGAGCAACGAATCGGGAGAGGAGGAGCTCGCTCGAATCGGATCGAACCCTACGAGCGCGGGCGGAGGCGGAGCTCATCGCCGGAGTAGCGGCGGCGCGCGGCGCCATGGACGAGAGGGAGTTCCGGCGGATGCTCGAGCTCTTCCCCGTCGTCCGATCTCGCGACTACTGCGTAATTTCCATCCCCTCCCCTCCCCCCCTTTCTCATACCCTACTCTCTCGTTTCCAGCACGTGTAGGGCGGGGGCGAATCGGCGTTTCGGCGGCGATCTAGCAGTTCAGGTGCTTGAGTTGGGGGAGCAAGAGGGGTCTCGATTTTAGGGCATGGGTTGGTTGATTTGGGTGGCTGTTGATTTGTGGCCTTGGGCTGATGTGCGTGGAGACTGGATTACGCATTATGTTGAGATAATCTCACTTTGGTTATACTGATCCGTCGAATTGCGTCATGAACCTGTCTTCTAGCCTGAGTTGTTTGCGCAGTAGAAGTTGTAGAGATGATAGTGCACTGGTAATTGCCTGAGTGATGTTAGTTAAAATGAGATAGAGAGAGGAAAACTCTTTTTTTTTCTTTAACAATATAAGGATGCTAGAATGCAGTACATCTGGAATTTTCTTTTGAAGATGTAGAGCTGTAGGATTTTTATTTCTGTACTTCAGATGGTTCTAAAAGCTAGAGATACACTAAGTTGGTCATATCTCAATATAACCATGCTACTTCAATTACAGAGCCATGCAATTGTGTTTCCCATGCCATTTATGTGGTCAGGCTATTTTTAGTGACACTAATTTTAGCCCCTTGAAGTGTGTAGGTTAATATTAGGAATAACTTTTAACAGGCTATTTGCAAGCATGTTTGTGTTTCTCTCTGCATAACATTGAGTTGGAGGCTATGGTTGAGAGAGAACTAGATGGTAGAGCTCATTTTCATAAATAGAAAACTGGGTTGAACGGTAACAATGTTTGCTGCAATAATAAGTAAATTTAAATGGAAACATCAATGGGCAATGCTTCAATGAAGAATGATCTGAAGTAAATATGGTCAGTGCTTGTTTTCCTGTTTGACGATCTCGTGATATGGTCATGAACTGATGAAATTTTTTTCGCCGGATGTAGGCTGAATCAGGGGCATCAAGCAAAGGCAGCACACAGCAATCACGGGCTCAGGTGTGTATGAACTAATTTAACTATCTAAATGCTACCTAGTTGTATTTTGTAATTATTTCTAACAAAGCTATTGTTTGCAGGAGGCAACAAGGGGCAACAAAAATGAGTCATCTGGTACTGAAGGCTTATCGATAAATATTTGATTGCTCTGCTTTTAATCTTATCTTACCAATTATTACAGCAGAAAACTAAACCTGCAATACCCATTTAACTTTATATTCTTATGCTGGAATGACGTCCTGTGTCACTACCATAAAGTTTGCTCTTCCTGCTTCATCCCTGTTCATGTGAATCCCATGGGGAACTTATTCACTTCTTCCAATTGCTAACTAGCCTTGGGCCTTTATTCTGAGGCCCTGGGTTTGTCATTTCACACCACAATCCTCATTCTCCATGGTTAGACATGACATACTCATGACTTCCATGGGACTTAATTCCATATTAATGATCAACTTGGCATGTTGCTGGACTCCTATTCACAGCACATATCAATTTCTCTTCAATTTGAGGTCCAGAAATCATTTGATCACTCTTTATGAATTGGGTCAGGTAGGTATTGAATTCCCCATTTAGGATTTTCTTGTTCTTGACTTGAACAACTGAAGCTGTGTATAACCAAACTAGATTAATAGGGAGTAGATATGGAAGCTTGATTTCCTGGATGGCTAAACTGAGCTGTAACAACAGTCTGAGTTACCAGTATTCAATTGAGAACCAGAACACTCAAAGAGTTGAAATAGACACTCGCACAAACTGATCTTTTTTGTGGCCTTCAAACTTAAGTACACTTTGGCACAAGGTTGTAGAAATTGATGAGATACTTGCAGCACAAGTCCCTCTCATGGGAGAAGTCTATAGATGTATCTCACTGAAATGATAAGGAAAGGCTGTGTTCTGAGCAATGTGCAGTTTTGAATATCATAAGGAATAGATCTTCAAAATAGTTGTGGAGATGAAGATTGGAAAATAATACTACCTCTGTCACAAATTGTAGCTATTTCTAGCTATGCACCTGGACAATAGCTACATTTGGGGATGAAGGTAGTATTGATTTTTTTAGAATAGACAAATATATTCTCTAGTGCAGTAGCTTGGTGATATTTGTAATATGACTTGAGTTGAGGTCAGTTACTTCCTGTGGGACTTGCATGAACAGTGCATAAGGGGATGAAGACTTTGGTTGCAGTTGTAGATGTATTTCTCATATGCTGCCCTTCAATAAAGAATACCAGCTTACATATACTGATATTGATGAATTTTCTTGCATGTTTCTCAGATCAATTCATGAAAAAATTGAAGATGGTTGCTGAGAAAAAGGTGGGATTTCCTCTTTATATATTTCACTTTGTTTCACAAAACTACCTGCTCAGTATAATATGGAAGTTTCAAAAAGATTGTTTAATATCATGTGTCGGTTATATGAATAAGTAAACCAGTAAGGAATAAATCAAAGATCTCCTTGGATGCGATTTGTCATAAAAGTCTGCTGTTATGCGGTTAAGAACTTTGGTAAGAGATTTTAAATATTTGGCAAAATGATCGTGAGCATGGCTGTCCTGGATTTTTTTTTTTTTGAAAAATTTGAGGTGTCCATCAATTAAAGCTGGTAAATATAAATAGTACATCTGTAAGCTACATCCTACATGCACTGTTTTTTGAGGCTGTATGGTACATATTTTGTTGGTTAAGAGGGAATGGCGCTGTTGAGTGCTCAGTGGCATCTCTCCTTGAAACAGGCCGATCTGATTGCGCACTAATATGTTATTGGTTACTGTCTCAGGTTGGAGCAACAAAGGCAGAGTTGTTCTGCAAGACATTTGAAGAAGCCCATAAGAAACTTGTATGGACTTGACTCCCAGCCATCACTTCAATAACCACCACCACGCAAAACTGCCTTGAGATCTCACGATATTGTTCTCTGTGCCAGGTTTACAAAGAGCTGAACCTAGATGCTGCTCAAAGATTTCTGAATGCCTATGAGAAACGATCATGAATTATAGCCAGATATTGTTCAAAGATCTGCAGACGCCAAACTGAGGGATTTTATTGAGGCGCGGCGTGCTGGCGCTGTTGATAATTCTGATTGCTGGTTCTTGTATGATTCTGCTAATTGTGATAGACGATAATATCAATAGACATGAGCTAGCCGCATTATTTCAGATTATTACATCCTCCCGAACAGACGACAGTTCCAATCAACTGATCGGTTTTTTTGTGATTGGATTTATGTCAGCTTTCATGAGAATGAAAATGCCTGAAACTGTTCTAGAAGTATATTTGTCTGTTCTGCCAAACTTTATTACAATGAGAATGGTGAAAAATATAGTTCCAAAAGATGACAAAACCACATACTCCTTCCGTCTTAGAATATAGCAACCTAGAACCTTCCGTCTCAGAATATAGCAACCTAGAGCCTGATGGGATATGGACATATCCTAGTTTACTACATCCGTGATTTATACTATATTGTAATTTAAGTTAAATCCTGGTTTGAAATGACATTTGTTACAGCAAAGTTGCATGCGATAATTCACGACTTCAACAGCCTGAAGCATAAGAGGTGAAGAGGGTTCAATCAACTATTTCATCCAAGATAGATGAGCGATGAGCGCGATTTATTTCCCCAATCAAATGGGATGAAAGCGGTTATATAATTCAATCAATCAACTATTTAACGAGGGAATCATAGTCACATCCGCTTATCGATCTCTCCGCATTAAGCTCGGGTCACAGCGACACATATCCAACCAGCACACAGAGAACACAAACATGCATAGAAGACAGAGCAGATTAAAAAGGAAGAGGCTCTTCAGATGCGTTAACGTTTACTGAATTTCATCGCAACAGATAAAAGGAAGCAACAATCTTTTGCAAGTTCATGATGTTCTTAGCCAAAATTCTACGACATCATAAAAGACAGTTGTGTCTGGAGGATTGTGTCCCGTCGATCCAATACTAAAAAAACATGCCTTGCATTAGCGCAACTGATTACTGATGGCGTTCATGACGATCCAAATCAGTCCACAAGGGTGCCCAAGATGTCATGCTCTCTGAAGAGAAGGTACCTGGAATTCCAGATGCAAAGATTATTAGAGCAATGGTAAAACATAATTTATATCATATACTGACAGCAACAGTATCAGCATAACTATCAGGAACATACAGAATATTGGATGAACAAAAATCATCATAATAGATCATTTTCCCACTCAACGTTCAACCAATAGCTAGCAACAGCAAGCATTCTAAATATTGAACTACCAGAAGAAAGCAGCCTAAACGAGGAAGCACGTGTGGTTCCCGGTTCTTCAGCAACACCACCACCAAGTATTCGATCAATTCCTAACTGTAGCACTCACAAGTACTTCCTCTGTTTCACAATGTAAGTCTTCTAGCATTTCCCACATTGATGTTAATGAATCTAGATAGATATATGTCTAGATTCATTAACATCAATATGAATATGGGAAATGCTAAAATGACTTATATTGTGAAACGGAGAGAGTAATTACTACTTCGTACATGGTAGCCATAAACAACGGTGCTATAGCATGCTGCCGATAGAGGTCATGAGAGCCTCATTGGTTGCCCATATTCCCTTATTAGGGAATAAAAGTTAATTTATAGGTAAAACTTTTATATATTTGTTCCTAGCAACTTAAAAACCAATGCTAAAAAGAAATTACGTTGAAAATATCTTAAAATCAACTTCAAATTCAAGTTTGAAAATTCAAATATATGCTTTTGCTTTGGCTTATTAGGCCAACCGATGGGGCTCATACACATTATTGTACTATGAGAGCACTACAAGATCTATCATCTATGATAGTATGCAACGAGTGGTAATTACATTGCCCTAGCAATATGCCGAAAGGTACATTCTCACTAACAAGTGAAGCAATGGAGAGATAGTTCACATACTCTTTTTCAGCAGCAAGCTTGACTTCGAGTCCACCATATTCAGGCAGGAGAACAGTGTCTCCTTCCTTGAGAGCAACAGGGATCAGCTTGCCATCCTTGTCACGTTCGCCAGGGCCAACAGCCACCACTTTACCAGAGTTGAGCTGGATTCAGCGGAACATTCAGAGTTAAACAATCAACATTAGCAAGGTGATGCAACTAGTGTAATAAAACAGTAACAGTGTAACTAGCAATCCAGCATGATTATATAATCCAAAAGCGCAAATAATAGAAAAAATCAATTCTTTACGAGAGACTAATGACATAGGCATAACCAAATTTCTGTTACTACAATTGCAAAATGTATTAACAGTTTGCGGCCTACAAAAACGCAATCTGACCCCGCTAAGCACAATCATGCATCATTCGAACAAGTAATTTCAACAAATTGTTCCCTAGCCATCAGCACCCTAAACGAGGCAATCGAAATCAAACATTCTAAGCAAGAACACCACGCTCCCAACTTAACCCCCACGCGCGCGCGCATGGAACAAGATCTAAACACTCCCCTCCCCTCACCGGATCGCATCACACTCGCAGCCAACTCGAAGCAGCAAGGAGAAGCAGCAGTAGCACCACGAGAGATCGAGGGGGGGAAGAACAGCGTGGGGGAAACCTGCTTGGACGTCTCAGGGAGGAGGATGCCGCCGGCGCTCTTCTTGGGCTGCACCAGCTTCTCCACCAGCACGCGGTTCAGCGACGGGATCAGCCGCCTCGCCATCGCCGCCGCCCTCTTCTTCTTCTTCTTGCGAAGCAAGCAAAAAAGACCGAGCAAAAGTTCTACACTCTTCGATCGCCTCCGCCGCGCTCGTGGGGTTTAGGGTTTTAAGGTGGAGGCGACGCGGCGGCGAATTTACGGGCTTGCCCCTCTCCAGGGCCCTCTAGAACGTTCCACTCCTACTGGACCGGCCCACCTCCACGGCCCATTTCATTTAAGGGACCAGCTAATACATTTTGTCATAAAACTTTTTTAGAAAAAAATTGATATATGTAAATATAATACAATGTAATTATTTGTAAATTGTATGTATATAATTATAATACAAATTGTATGTAACTTTTCAAAGATCCTGTGATAAGTGATACGTAGTAGCATACTATTTCCATGAAGCGTGTATGTCTTGTAAGTTGTGACGGAATACCCTCACCTATACGCGCACTGTCATTTCTTCCTTGCTTGCTTGTATAAACCTTGAAACAAATTTAACGATTTTATAATTATATAAAAGTTACATATAATTTTTATATAATATAATTACACTATGATTATAATATATTTACATGTGTGAATTGTTTAGAAAAAAAATTGCGACAAATATAGGAAATCACTATATAGCAAAATCGTCATTTAATGCCTATTACTTAGTTGGCCCTTGTGTAATCGAGTTTGGGCCCAACTTGATTATGAGCCCATGACTCTGGCCTTTGTATAGCCCACGAGCGAATAAAGGGTTTGGGTCGCCGACTCGCCGCCGCCGCCGCCACGTCCACTTCAGTTGCAGTCACCGGCGGCGATGGCGGACTCCGGCAGCGCGAGCGAGCGGCGAGAGGAAGGGAAGAAGGGAAGGGAGGAGGAGGAAGAAGACGACGTCGTCTGTCTGGACCCGTCGTTCTTCGTCGACCGCAGGTGTGCTTCGCTGGTTCGCTCTCTGCTGATTTTTGTTTGGTCGAGCTGCATCGGCTTGCTTGTGTGCTGAAGCTTTGTCCCGATTTGTTGCTGGGGTTCGTCGATCTGGGAGGGAAGCTACGAGACGACTACGTTCACCTTCGGCTCGCAAGTGCTCCACCTCCTCTGCCTCCGCGCTGCTTCCAGTTAGTACCTCCTGCTCCTACTCGTTCTTTCTTGCTAAGTGTAGAGGTATAGTTATCTTTGATGTGGAAATGGTTCCAGAAAGCTGCTCTATTATGCCCAATTGTGATGCAAAATATGGTTAATTTCTACTTAGCTAGTCTGTTCTGGGTGAAATTTTCTTGGCTGGAAGCCTGAAACCACTGCTAAGATAGCCTAGTTTAGAGGCAAAAAAAAAAAAAGCATAGTTGGTTGAGCATTATACTGCTCAGTATGGTTGTCATTTTGGTGAAGAAGTCTATGTAGAACAGCGCTGTTCTATTCAACCGGCTTCATTTACAGAATCAGCTGTTACTGGATACTAAATTAGTATCTCCACTCCTTTTTAGCTTGATGATCATGAATTAAGGTCATAGCATAGCATCTACCATCTATAGATTACTCCATCATCTCTGAATTTGGTGTTACATATGAGTTCAACTGGAAGATGTGATACGTTCTGTTCATATATTCTTGTTGCTTGGGCAGTAGCAAACTGGGTTTTCATTACACCAATCATGTAGTTTTAGGACCACTTTTACCTTGTCCCTTTTGGGAACCCTTCCAACTCAGACATTGTCATTCTAGTACGTCAGTACAATGAATGGTCCATGTTTCACAGGATCAAACAAAATGGCGGGGTTTTCATTTTGTGCATATATGTCGTCATGTAACTCTTATGCCCCATTTCATTCTGTCCTTCATGTCTGCTTCTATAACCAGGAGGCTATGCTGCTTTGTGTAACATAGTAACTATCAATCTATCATTTATCTGGAGATAGCTCTTCCGTGGAACACAAAAGTTAGATCTGAGCATGATATACTCAAGTTTATTTCTATTTGTGCAGTGGACAAATATGAACAATCTTATTTACAAACTAGAACCTCTCATCAGTACATTAACTTGTTTGGGTGTATTTTTGCTCTGGGCACAATGCTGCATTGCACTTCATAACGCCAGATTTTTGCTGTTTCCTTATCATGGGGCCAACACTTACAAACATTCTAATGATTTGTGGCAGCTGATTATGATCTTACTGGACAGTTAGTATGGCCAGGTGCAGTTCTGATGAACACCTACTTGTCTGAACATCCTGAGACTGTGAAGGATCATTCAATAATTGAGCTAGGATCTGGGGTTGGTGAGGGCATTCTCCTCTCATGTTTACTTCACTTTGTGATCTTGGAAAATCTGACAGTATTGTGAGCTTGTGACTTGCTTCAGGCATTACTGGCATATTGTGCAGCCGTTTTTGCAAAGAAGTTGTCTTGACTGATCACAATGATGAAGTTCTAGAGGCAAGCTTCAAACCTTACGAATATCTTCCAGTGATGTCACTTAGTTTGACAAAATACAGAAGATATTGAGACTTTCACATTGTGTTCACATATTATTCGGTGCAGCTGCTTTATCTTCAAATTCTAGAAAGTGGTGTCATAGTCATACATTATAAAATATTCAAGGATGATTCCATTGTGCCACTTGCATATCTACTTATTCTATATAAATGTTGCATCTATTTATTCCAAAGATTGTTTGACAGATTATAAAGAAGAATATAGAGATGCAGTCATGTTCTGGGAATGCCAATGCAGGTTACCACTTCTTAACTTCTGGTTAATTATGTTTCATCATTATGTGAATCACTGAAATATAAATCTTCCAGATATCAAATAGAACTGATACTTTTGTTGCAGTGTTGACAGCAGAGAAGCTAGAGTGGGGAAACTATGTTCATATAAGCAATATCATTGAGAAACATCCTTCTGGATTTGATCTCATCCTTGGAGCTGATATTTATATCCTTCTTTCTTACTTTGCTGTGATTTCTTCTTTCTTACTTTCCCGTGATTTAATTTCAGTTCTGATCCTTTCTCTTTCTATTCTTTCTGACATATAATCGTATATCGATTGTTGCATCTTGTGAATTTTGTGAACCTTGACTCGCAGAAAGCTTTCAGCAATCTAGCATTTCCTGTCTCTTTGATACTGTAGAGAGGCTTCTTCGTATTCAGGCTAGTAAATGTAGATTCATATTGGCTTATGTATCACGAGCTAAAGTGTATGTGTTTTCTCAACTCAATAACTCATCATCTTCCTGTCCGAGCATATTTTACCAGAGTTTCTAATATTTTGTGAAATCGTGTACCCGAATGCTGTTCCAAGTTAGGAAAGCCAATTTAATGCGTGTCTCATTTCTGATCAAAATATAAATGATTGTACCTTTTATTGATAAAACTATGGAATAGGTACATTTTTATTGGTGGTATCCTTATTGTGTCTACCAAGAACAAGGACTGACTTAGCTATTGATTCTTTTTAATATACCGATTAACTTGCTTGTACTATAGGTCTGGGTTTGCTACACATGGAATAATGAATATCTTAGTATGAAAGGTAGCTGAGTAGTCATGATAGAACTGATCAAAGATATATACAAGTGAAATCAGGAGTGCATCAATAGCACCAAATAATCAAAATGCTGCATCCAAAATATATTGATCTGATGGATTCAAATGTAAAGCAGATTAAACATCTGAAATATGATCTAGCGTTAATTAGTACTTAGAGAGGATGGTCACAGGCAAATCTTTTTCCTAGTGACATGTAGATCTACAGAAGTTCTGCAGATTTTCATGGCAACAAGGTGTTATGTCACCCATTCTCTCGTCAGCTTGTCGCTTGTTTGAGATACTCTGCACCTGACAGTTCATTGTCCTCTGCAAAATGATTGTCCAGTACTCCAGTTGCATTCATGAGCAAATAGAATATACAGGTTGGCTTGCAGTAGTTTGATTACAATTAACTGGGCTAGAACAGGTAGCAGCATACTGTGGATATTTTACTTGGTACTGCCAGAATGTGATTACTGTACTGACATCTTGCACATACTGCCAGCATAATACTTGGTATGTCCAGATTGTACTGTTTAAAAAACTGCAATACAGAAAGGTGGTAAAAAATAATTAAGCTATTTAGTGTTGTCCCTTTCACTTAGTTGGGACCTTTTGGAGCTTCTCGTAACAAATTCCAGTAAAATCTGGAGCAATCCCAACTCTCAATAAGTCATCCCATGTTTTTTTTTTGGGTTATTTTACTCTCCATCTAACTTTAATTGATTTTGTACTACTTCAAGTGTTGATAGATCATTTAAAAATAACTTGTGTGTTCGCTTAACTAAGACACTGCTGCTCTCATTGATTACCAGCATGGATGTTCTAGTGCTCAAGGAAGCTGAAAAACATGGAATGCATGTCAAAGAGGTGGATGGGACAAGAACAACCATCTCAAATCTTGAAGGAGTCATATATGACATTACCCTCAAATAATGCTGCTCTTCGCGCATGTTGATGAAGTGCTTAGGTGATCAGTAGTCATGAAAAGTACATGCAACTTCCTCTGAATGACTACATCCTTTCGGAGGAGGAAAGAATACCACACTGCCACAGTAAACAGCATTATTGATGAAGGGCTTCAATTCATACGCTGTCATGCTGATTTGATGTAGGTTTTTTGGAGAGGGATTCGATGTGGTTTTTGAATGCTTTGATTATCATGGATAGTAGTTTTGTCACAGCTCTCTCTGAATACTATCTTGTCAAGGAGATGACCAAAACCCTGAAGTTCTTGTGAGGAAGAAGTTGCTGAAAGCAGTGGCATAACGTAAGCTTGAGGTTGCTGGTTCTGAGCTCTGTAAAGTTCCTGAATTACCATGAGCTAGCCTGTAAAACGTCAATTCCAACTGAAGCTTCAGCACCATTCACTTATCCTGCAATGCATGGGATATATGGATCCAATCCTGGGTTGTTCTTTAGCCTGTTCTTGGTTTCGCCATCTTTTATGTTTTGCCGCGACAATTTGTCAAGGCCTCTGCCTAATCCAACTTTGTCATGGAGGCAAATGCCACACTCTTACCGGCTTTTCTTGGAGGCAGCCCAAGTCTGGATCTCCATCCAGCCAAATGACATGAACTGTACTGGATCTTGTTGTGTTCCCCTGTTGCAGCACAGTGCCTGTTAGCACTGATGCATTGCACATTTGCACTGATTCATTGCACTGCTTCAGCTGCAAATCTGAACAAGTCTGAACCTGTTCAAAGTGTAGGCAGTATGCTTGTCTGCAACCAACATGAACAAAGGCTCTGCACATTGTTTTCAATGATAAACTCATGGCAACTGATTGGCCATTTGGAGGTTGAAGCTGGGTCCCTTGGTAGCAAATGTTTCCAACCAGGTGCTTTGAAGCTCAAGGATCCTCCCTCCAGCCATGATGTTGCAACCAACTTATTTAAAGACCAAATCTTGGTGTTCAACATCTTGTTTCATAATCTAAAATGATATAAAATCGGCATCAGAGTTATTACTAGCAAAATCCTTTCCCCTTGAAGCTTGACCATCGTTGAAAAAGGATCCCACCTATCAGTGACCCATAAACACGGTTTCACCGTGAGCATCAGAGTTCTTACTGAAAAAAAAAAACTTTACCTCGGAAGCTTGACGATCATCAAATAAGGACCCACTTATCAGTGACCCATCGACGTGGTTTTGCCGTGGGCACTGTTCTTATCATGTGATCTATAGAAGTCTAGAACCTACCACCTCCACTGAATATATAAAGAATTACACGTATCTTTGCTCCAGATGAGAAAGGGATTACGATTGATTGGCTTCCTTTTTAGCTTTTCTACGGCGCATCCGATGCTGTTTTGCAATAACAAAGGTCAAAGGGAGGGAGAAGGAAGGCCAAGGAAAAAAAAAAGAAGGGGTGGCAACCATCCAAAACACCTGAAAGGATGTACAAAAAGAAGAGCAATTTACGGATGAGTACTACTACTGATGATGATAAAAGTGAAAGTGAAAAGGATGTAACCATGACAACTCTCTCTTGGCAGCCATGGCATGCAAAGCCAAGCCCAGCAGCTGCAGCTGCAGCTAGCAGCATTGCATCTCTGATTGCATAGGGTTTCTCTCTCTCTTTTTTTCTTTCTTTCTTTACTGACTTTACAGGCCTCACTGGCTGTGATCTGTGCTGTTGCTGCAGAGATTCCCAAGGGGCACACATAGACACATAAAGAGAGGAGATTGGCATTGCTGCCCAATGATTGGGTGTATAAGTATGGCATATAATCCACATGAGAGGGAGAATTTAAGAATTTTCTATCCAATTAACATTATGCAGCTGCACATGCTTAGCTAATCTCTCTCCCCATTGGCAACATGTTTGCATAATTCTGAACAGCCATACACACACCTGACTGGCTGATTACTCTGCCAGAAGTGCACAGTTTCCTGCTTGCTAGCTAGCTGGATCATCTGCAGATAATAAACCCTGCAATGCTGAGGCAGAATGTGTATCATCCAATGGCCACAATCCACAGAGAATCCTGAAAGAATGGCAATGCACATCTGCAAAACATACATGTATGAGTGAGTAGTGAGTACCTAACTCTGATGGGCAACTGATAAATTCAAGATTTTTTTTCTGTTTGGTTGTCAATTTGTGAGAAGTATTAATAACAGATGCTGTTGGCAACATCCCTTGCTGCTTACTGTCAGAATGGTCCTGAGCTACCAGAATACATATACAGTTGTGCAGGTATCAAGAAAATCCCTTCTGGTCCGGGTACAGTGACAGCCGGGCTACCGGCCGCCGGAACAGGCCGCCGCCGGTGGCCGGTGGCCGGCGGCCGGCCAAGAAGGTGAGGTGTTTGGTCAAAGAAAAGTTTCAGAAGGTGGTGTTTTCCTTTGTTAATTTGTTCGTGCTGCATGCCGTGTCATTGATCAGAAAGTTGGCAAGACAGGCATAGAAATTTGGAGAGGTTGGTATATATTTGTTTGGAGGAACAGGAAAGTTCAGATGCTTGTTCACGTCTTCATGCATAAGCTGCTGGAGTTGTTGGTGGCACACTTCATTGGCATGGATGCTGCCTGACAGTGATGATAAAACTGTGACCTCACACATCTTAACTAACTTGCAACCTAACAATAGTATTAGCAATAGAGAAGTATATACAAGATACAAGATCCAATGGACTGGACATCCGATGGGCTGGACATGGGCCAACTATACAGTACATTAGCTTGTATATATATTTAACACCCCCCTTCAAACTCAAGGTGGATCTACCACATTGAGTTTGAGAAGATGTAACCGATGATGCTCTCGAGTTTGGGCCTTGGTGAAGAAATCAGCGACTTGTAGCTCGGAGGGCACATAGTGGAGAGCAATTGTTGACTGCTGACAATGAGAACGTGTGAAAGATGCATCAACGCCAATATGCTTCGTCAATTCATGCTTGATTGGATCATTGGCGATTTGTATAGCTCCGGTGTTGTCACATAAAAGAGGTGTCGGGACATCACAAGAGACACCAAAATCAGCTAGTAGCCAACGCAACCACACAATCTCTGAAGTGGTTGTGGCAAGAGCCCGAAGTTCAGCCTCAGTACTAGATCGAGATACCGCTGTTTGTTTCTTGGACTTCCAAGTGAGGAGAGAAGTGCCAAGAAAAATACAATAGCCAGTGACAGAGCGACGATCAATAGGATCACTTGCCCAAGTAGAGTCCGAGAAAGCGCGAAGCTGAAGCGGGCTAGATGCTGCATAGAACAAGCATTGAGTTGTAGTGCCCCTCAAATATCGTAAGACACGAAGCAAGTGACCATAGTGAACTGAAGTCGGAGCACTGACAAACTGACTCAAGATATGAACAGCATAAGCAATATCCGGCCTAGTGACAGTAAGATAGACAAGGCTACCCACAAGATGTCGATACCGTGAGGGGTCATCAAGAGGAGTTCCATCTGTGGAACGAAGTCGGACATGCAACTCCATAGGAGTAGTAGTTGTTCTACTATCAGTAAGGCCTGACTGAGCAAGAAGATCCTCAATATAACGGTGTTGAGAAAGATAGTAACCATCAACAGTAGAGGTGACTTCAATCCCTAGAAAGTAGCTGAGTGGTCCCAAATCAGACATCATAAACTGTTCGCTGAGTTTCCCTTTCACGAAAGCAATGTACTCCAAATCATCCCCTGTAATCAACATGTCATCCACATAGAGTAACAACAAAGTACGACCACGGGAGGAAGTATGAATGAATAGTGCTGGGTCATGATCGCTAGGAGAAAACCCAGCTGCAAGTACCACTGAGCTGAAGCGTGCAAACCAAGCACGAGGGGCCTGCTTGAGACCATAAAGTGCACGCCGAAGGCGAAATACATGTCCTGGTGGAGCTTCCACACCTGGTGGTGGATGCATATATACCTCCTCATGAAGATCACCATGAAGAAAAGCATTCTTGACATCCATTTGTGAGATAGTCCAAGAACGGGTAGCTGCCACGGCAATTAAAGTACGCACCGTAGTCATATGAGCAACAGGAGCAAATGTCTCATCATAGTCTCGACCATGAGCTTGCTGGAAACCTCGCGCAACAAGGCGAGCCTTGTATCTCTCAACTTGACCATCTGATTTGGTCTTAACTTTATAAACCCACTTACAGGTGATTGGAACAGCATGAGATGGCAACGGGACAACATCCCACGTGTTGGTACGCTCTAGTGCAGCAAGCTCCTCTGACATAGCCAATTTCCAATGAGGTAAAACAATTGCCTCCTGATAAGTAGATGGCTCAAACACAACCCCAACAACAAAATCATCTCTATTAGGTGCACGAAGAGCATCACGAGCACGCAAGTTGTACCTCGGAGCAGGAGATGAATCATCAACGGAACATGTTGGATCCTCAAGGGTAGGTTGGGAGGGTTGTGATTCGTTAGGAATTTTGGGTCTACGACTGTAGTGGAAAGGAAAAGTGTCTAATGTTATAGTGGAAGGAACATGTGGAGGTGATGAGGAAGCTGGGATGTGTGATGGTGGAGGCGATACAGGTGAGGGTGAAGGGGAAGGTGGTGGAGGTGGTACATATGTTGGTGAAGGTACAGAAGGAGGTATAGGCGATGGTGATGGGGTTATTGGTGATGAAGGTAAAGACTCTGGTGAAGGAATAGGTGGAAGGTAAAGGAAGGAGATGGAATTTTCTGGAGAAGAAGGCTGATTAGTAGAAGAATAGAAGAAGGGTTTGTTCTCATCAAAAGTAACATCTCGGGAGATACGAATTCGACGTGCAGAAGGATCATAACAGCGATAGCCTTTATGCTCAAGACTATATCCAAGAAAAACACACTCAACTGATTGGGCTGTCAACTTGGTGCGCTCACGTGGGGCTAGTAAAACATAGCAAGTACAACCAAAAACTCGAAGGTGATCATAGTGGGGAGGAGAGCCAAACAACACTTCTCCAGGGGACCTGCCTTGCAAAGAAGAAGATGGTTGCATGTTGATGAGATATACAGCTGTAGAAATAGCCTCTGCCCAGAAATGAGCTGGAACAAATGATGCAATGAGAAGAGTTCTAGCAGTCTCAATGATGTGGCGATGTTTACGCTCAGCAACACCATTTTGAGCATGAGCACCAGGACAAGAAAGTTGAGGAAGAGTGCCCTGAGATACCAAAAATTCACGAAAAGCATTTGACATATACTCTCCTCCGGAGTCTGAGCGGAAAATACGAATTGCACTAGAGAACTGAGTATGAATCATCTGGGCAAAAGACTGATATATAGAAATTAGCTGAGACCGATGCTTCATGAAATAGATCCATGTATATCTAGAATAATCATCAACAAAAATAACATAGTAGTTGTGGCCTCCTTTTGAAGGAAAGGGGGACTTTCCCCAAACATCAGAGTGAACCAAATCAAAAGGTCGACTCGACCTGGAGGTACTGGAAGGATATGGAAGCTGTACTTGCTTACCAAGTTTACAACCTTTGCAAACAAAGGTAGTGTCAACAGGGACGGAACCAAGAACGCCTTGATTGATAAGAGTTGCTAGGCGAGAGCCACACAAGTGACCCAAACGATGGTGCCACTGTGGGAAGGATTTACAAGCTGTAGAGCACATAGGAGAATAGACAGAAGGTGTGTTAGTGGAGGATGAAGGCAAACTCAAGCTATCAAGGATATA